TACAAAGTAATTGTTTTAAAAAATATAGTAAGCTAACCTGTTTATTTTTGAAACGTTTTTTCTATGGTGAAAGACTATGGAGTACTAAGATGACTATTGGTAGTTATAGTTATTGCGTCCTTATTGATAGTATACTTATTGTCGAATATTTTTCGTGATATTGCATTCAGCTTTCCTGATTTTACATTATTTTCGAGATTTAGAAAGTTTATTAAATTAATAAACATATTTTTAATTATTACGGTTTCTTTTTTTTAATAAAATTTCAAACTTAAAATTCAGACCTTTTGACACTTCGTTCAGTATGTGGCAATCATCAATAATCATATTAGTCTTTATATTCATGATTTCAAATTTAGAAGGATTTTGAATTCCAGTTTTTAACAAATTTTGAACATCAGAATTGCTAGTTACAGTTGAAACAGAGTTGCTGCTATCAATTAAAGAGTTGTTGGTTTGATTGGCAGAGTTATTGTTTGGGTTGACAGAGTTACTGCTGTTTACGATAGAGTCGTTGATTTCATTAGTTTTGACAAAGTCGTTGGTTTGATTAGCAGAGTTGTTAATTTGGTTGACAGAGGTATTGGTTTCACTGATTGAATTTTTGTGAATAACTAGAGACATAATTTGATGTTCATCCAAAACTTCAACTTTCACGTTTTCCACTTCAATAGAACAGTTGAAGTTTGATATAAATGAAATTAGCGTAGTAGGATAATGATTTTCAGTGAGTTCTCCATTAGAAGAATTTTTGGAATACGGAAAAGAATTTTGGAGTTGATATTAATCGATAAAATAAATGGAGATTGGACTTTAATTTACTTGGTGAGCTACTTGGACAGGTTCTATATTGATTATTATAGGTGTCTTAGGATTCTTATCTAAATTATAAAGTATAAAAAAATAAGATAAATGAATTTAATAATATGTATTCTGTAGGTAGTTAAAAATTGTAAAGAAAATCTATTTGAATTAAAAGAATAATTTTGATTTTTTTAAATATCTCTTTCTTAACAATAATTTATATCCCTGATACTTTTTGAACATTCAACCACGGCTGATACGAGCCTTTGTTCTGAATATCACGTGTTCAAGTACCTGATCTACCATTTATTTCAAATTTCTCCAAGAGTTTATAAGGTATATATTTTTGAATTGTCTGAAAATCTGATAACTGATCAGGTTCTTTGTCTACTGAATTTTTTTTACTTGGCTTGGATTTTGATTTTTTTTTTTTTTCTTCAAAACATCGTACCCAACTCAATCAAGATTGAGTAGGTATAAACCACTTGATTCAAATCTATTTTTAATAACATCCTTTACATTTTTCCAAGTATCTTATGCCAATATTAACACTACAGGAAGGTCTTCTTTTTTAATACCTCATCTGTTATTCTCCAATTTCCAATTCCTTGGTGTAGCTTTCCAGCCTTCTCTTTTGGAAGGACCAAAAAAACATATGTCGAGAGGTTGAGTGATACGTATTGAATGTGGGTACAGAATAATCAACTCTATTTGGTTTTTCCTACAAAAAGATAGTAGAGGAATACTCGAATGAGATACATATCTATCCATGTACAAGGTTATAGGAAACTGAATATTATTTTCAATCAGCCATGGATAAAAGACTTTACAGACATATTTGTAGAAGGTGTCCGTAGTCATGAAACCATTGTCGCATAATCCAGCTCTCCATCCTTATGGTAAAGTATTTAAAATACTTTCAGGCACAGGAGTTTTATACTTCTACAGAATACATGGAGGGGCTGCAGTACCATCTGCACTATATATAAATAAAACTGAATGATTGTCCTTTTTATTTCCATCAGTACACTGGTAAACAGTTTTCACACCTTTCTCAGCTAAAACTTTAGATGGTTTGGGATTCAACTGCAAGCTGGTTTCATCACAATTGAAAACTCTACATGCATCAAGGCTTGCCAAATCCTTACTCTTCAGGTAAGTTATTATTTCCCTTAACCAATTTCTCAGATCTTCTTCAGTTACATCTGCTCTCAGAAGCTCAAAGGATTGAGCAGTTCTGTACGTTATGTTAGGGTGACGTCTTCTAAATCCCTGAAACCAGTGATGACCAGGCCTGTCATTAAGGAATTTATTTTCTTTTTTTATTTTTAACACATATTGCTGCACATTATCCTTCAATTTATTAACTGTGGTAGGGCACCCTGTTGCTGCTCTGTCTAAGATCCAGTTTACAAATTCCTGCTCCTCTTCTTCAGACAGAATAGTAACAGGTCCTTTCTTATTCTTGATTGCTGTATTGCAATTCTTGAGTCGATGAAGAGTACCTACCGGAATGCAATACTCTTTTGCAACTTTTCTAAAAGAATCTTCACTTTCCAAGGCTTGCAACGCACACACTACTTCTTTTGAAGATGAATTATAGAACTTCTTTTTTTTCTTCTGGTTATTTTTCATATGACTCGAACATTTTCGAGTTTTGTTTCTTGTTTTCTTAATGCTTAACCTATTAATTATCTCAGTTTACATTCCAAAAAGCTTAACAACTTCTTTTTCGATTAAGGTAAGTCCTGCAGAAAACAAAATATCTTAATTTGAGAAATCAGTCAAACTAAGTATACGCATACCTAAATAATAACAAATTTCATAATTTAATATTGTGTGTTCGTTGCTCTAGGGTACATGCATGTGGCTAAGGAACACTGACACTGAGCTGTTCCTTGTATTGGTACAAGCAGAAGTTTTGTGTACTCTTGTTCCATCAGTTAATAAAATAAAAATTTTTAATGAATTTCATTATTTACTATAAAAAATGTATTCCTTAAATCGTAGGGTTTCCATCCATCCCCATCTTTATACTATTTTAATTTGTTTACGTAAAATTTTATTAAATATATAATGACTGCGTAAGCATTAGTTGACATAAGAACAGGAGGTAGAATATCGGATGTAAGGAACAGTCGCGATAATTACTTGTGTTTTACTTGAAAAACAATTATTTTGCAAAAAAATGTTTTGTTCTTATTATTTAGACGTATAGATGTTACTAATATATTCTTTAACTTTCCCCAAAATTCCTGAATGTTTTTTTTTATTGCATTTATAAATAGTACGCGTTACATTAGGACACGTTCACTTTACTGGGCCGATTACCTTACTAAATGAATTTTCATAAATTTCATTATTTGATAAATATTTCTGCATATTCACAGCATTCGAACATTTACACGCTAATACAATTATTTCTTAAACTCCTAGGCACAGTGACAGCAAAAGTCACATGTTTAATTTTCATAAAATTTCTCAACAATCATTTAATGATTGTTTTTATATTTAGATTAAGGTTAGAAATTTACTACGTTGCATATTACCGAAAGAGATGACATGCATTACACATAAAATTTATAGTCATACGCGAGTTGGACGCGTGCTTTATATGGAAGTTTTCTCACACCTCGAAAAAAATAAATAAACGCGGCTCAGGTAAGTACTTTATGCTTTTGCACTGCTCACTCTCTTTATCTCTCTCTCAAGCAAGGAGAAATACGGAGCAGGGAGTTTTTTCGACCACTCTACACAATATAGATGTCACGTCGATAGGGAAAAAACATTGGCTTTCGTCCTGATACACTGCCACTGAAACTTGAATTTTCGGGTGAGGTAGTAAAAAAAAAACTTGATACTGTAATTTATAATTGATCAAACGAAACGAATTAATATAAAGTAAATCAAAATTTATATAAAAAGTAAGTAACAAACAACACAATAAAATGCAGTAATAGAATTCACTAAGTAGGGACTGCTCATAGTAAAGTGGGTAAGGGCCTTGGCTAGTGAACAGGAGGATAGGGTTTCATACCTCTTTTTTTTTTTTTTTTTTTTTTTTCTAGAACTGTTAAAAAAAAAAAAAAAACACTTTATTAAATTTAAAATTTGTGGTGTGGTGCGGACGGGACCGGAAGACCGGTAAGGGAGGAGGGACGAAGTAGGAATAAGATGCAGAAGTCCACTTCCATCACACTTTTTCTCAGGATCACCAGTCTAAAATCCATGATTTACTCTCATGCATAATATGCCTATAAAAGTGCAACTTCAAAAATTTTAAAAGAATAAAAACAATTTCAACATATTGTCGATCATCACGATATATCGATATAATATTGATTTCTACATTTTAGTATTCTTTACAAATATTTTAAAGTTACACTTTTACCAGTTATCTAAGGACCCAAATGTTGATTTGTTTATGCTTGAAAAATTTTACCACTGATTACCACAAGTCAAATTTATGTTAATTACTAATTTAATAAAACACAACAACCCAAAACAACTATAAACTAGGTGTATTCTTTAGTCTAGGTCAGAACAATATTAATTTGAAAATTACTCTTTTCTTCGCATGTAGGGAGAAGAAATTTTTTATAACTAATCAAATAAAATACAATCAAACGAAGTGTTGTAATAATTAAAAAAATTTTTTTTTCATACAGCTAGTGGAAGTGTTCAACAAAATTTTATGGTTTTATGCTTTGTTCTACAAGAGTGAGCATATCAATAACGATTAAATGACTTTACTTAAAACTATCTTATTCATACTCCTTTATATTTTAGTAGATGATTAAAAAATGATTATTCAGGTAAGGTTTACTGACAAAAGTCCAAACATGAAACTGCTATATTTCTTAAATCTTATTTTCGTACACATCTATTATCTCTATTTTTCAATCACCAACTAATGTAAATACTTATGTAAATAGATTAGGACAAGTTCACACTAACAAAAAAAAATCATGATAATTATCAGTTAAAATCAATCACCAGTAAAAACCTAATACTTTTTTAACTCCAACCATTAAATTTACACGTCAATTTTTTTTTCATCCATACTCACAAACGAGGTTGTTCTGATTAATTTCAGAAATCATATAATATTAATAATTAAACTATGTAATCAATTGTTTTTTAGTTAAAAATTTTTTAATTCTGGTATGTAATTTTTATTCTACATAATTGCAATAATTTTTATAAAAATAGTGTCCCAAAAATATTTCTAATTTTTCACTTTTTTCATAATTTATCACCTGATATCAGCACGTTGAAATTTCGTTAACGATACGTGTCTTCGTTATTTCGGAATTTAATCAATAGTTTACTTTTTGGGACATAATCTCCAACATTGCAAAGAATATCTTCTACAACTCCATTAGATGTGGCTGCTATTGAATACTATAGCAAAAAAAGTTCGTTTATTTGATATGTAATAACTACAGTTTATCTCAGACATTATTTTACATTACTTTACCTCCATTTTCATAGCTATAACTACAAGTAGTTGATCACCAGCTGTAACGTTATCTCCTTTTTTTACAAGTATTTTATCAACTATTCCTGACATTGGACTAATAGTTGCTGTAGATTCTATGTACGTTTGATTTGATACGTAGTCACAGAATTCTGTATGTGGCATAAGTAAACTCCATTTTCTGTCCTGAAAAATGTGACAAAGATTTGCAAAACTTCTTAATACTTAAACAAAGAATATGTTATCGTCTGATGGCATCTGTTTGACAGGTGTAGACGTTTTACAAATTCAACAAAAGTTTGTACGTTTTTCAAATGATATGGAAGTTTATACTTTTTATGAAAAAAAACTATTGACTGAAAAACGTGGTATTACAAAACTTACCCTTACTTGCTAATTTGTTAAAAATGGTTAAAACTAAAAAACATGTTAAAAAATGAAAATGCTTTAATTGTTGTTGTATGTTATTCTAATTTAAAAAATACATTTTTGTGATAAATTTTATAACGTATTGATACTAAAGATGTGTGCATAAGATTTTAATACGTAACATGTAATGCGAAAAAATAGAACAGTATTGCCAGAGAATCGTTATACGTTATCGTTATACGTTATTCAGTCCACGCCTGTCTGTACTCTGTCTGTCCAGTGGGACAAAATGGTAAAACTTTTTTCGGAAAGAGTGTTATTTACATGTACAGAAAATATGTAAAACTATAAACATCAAAGACAATACTTGAAAAAAGCAGTCAATACAAAATAGTGGGTCTTAAATTTTTTTACAACTCCTTTTATGTAGGTGAAAAATAAAACGGTATGATTAGTATAACACAGTAAAGTATGTGAAATTATTCAAAACGTGTTATAGTGGATCATTCATTGTTTTACAACCCTTTTAACAAGGATGTAAAGTAAAAGAATGTAACAATTAAAGTAAAGTATGCTGTGTTATTGATTAAAAATATTAGCCCATGCCCAATAGAGTACCATTTGTTCAACTACACCCTCTTGAAATTCGTAAAATATAAAATGGAATCATGGGTGAAAAAGATAACTAATGTATAAATGCAATCGACTACAAAAACTATTTGTATATATTGAAACGCTTACCGTGTATTACATCACAGAAAATAAAAGCCAGTAAAATATTATTGTAAAGCAAATTCAGGAAAAAACTTCATTGTTTAAATTATCATTTTAATATAAGCTTATGAGGTCTCTTAGAAGCCACCACATCACGGAATTTAGTTGAATATGCTATTTCCACAAAATGTATGTTCAGCTAAAAGTATTAAAAAAATTTTCCTATGCAGTAGTGAGAAGTACGTTTTAAAAAATTTAAAATCTTACTGAGTGTTTTTACATATATTTATACAGAAAAATACTGAATACCTGTCACTAGATATTTTCATACTGCTCTTAATAGTAGTTATGCAAATTTCATATTTTGATATAAAAATAGGTTATAACGTATTAAAAGATACCTATAAGAAGCATTGCGGATTATATTATATTCTGGATCTTAAAACCAATAAAAGACAACACGAAAGAAAACTGATCACGTCAAATATAATTCTAAAATTTAAGTTCAAGGCTTTATTGTCAAATAAGTTCTTAATATCTAATTATAGATTCTAGCCAACTTTTTCTGGTTCTCATTCCAGAAAAAATTAAGTATCTTGATTAGGAAATAATAATTTCTAGTAGATATAATGAGTTTTCTAAGAATGTTGTATTAATACTTATAACTTTATACACACTTTTAAAAGGACTCATAATAATACAAATGAAAAGAACAATAGAAATTATAAAAAAAACCAAGGTAAAAGTAAAACTATAAATATATTAATTTTCATATCAAAAGTTAAAGTAATAATATAACGAAATGTGTAAGTTACATAAGCCATCTACTTATTTTTTTAATAACATGCCTAACCATCTCTTTTTGAAAGTTAATTAAATGATAATTACAAAAAGTTGTATGTATATATTTAAATATCAAAACACAACTCAAGCAAAAAAAACGTGTTCTACAATCAATTTAGGTTAGTTGGTCAGCCAACTTGTTTTTTATTATAATTTTAAATGATACACATCAACTACATCAAAAAAAACTTTCTAAAGTAATAAAGAAATATCGCTATTTCATTTGCCATTGAATTTTCGCAATCAATCATTATAACGCATCATTATCTGTTGACTGTATAATTACGTGCTTTGGATATAGAGAGAGAGAACTTGTTTTTTTTCTTTTATTAGTCGTGTTTAAGGGATACCTTCTCTGTGTGGGATGATTCGTTTCAATCCTTGGTTGTTGCGTAGAGCCGCCGTGAATAATCCTTTAGCTAAAGGTTGTTTCTGAGTTCACCGTCTTTGGAATGATTTTTTCTCTTTTCGTTTCAAAGACACGTATTCGTTGAAACGTTGAATAGGTGAATTCAAAGAAAATCTCTGACAATTTTAACCTCGGTGCGAAATCGCGTTTTGGTCTAAATCGTATCGACCCGCACTCCTTGCCTTACACTTCCTTGGTCAGCTCCTCGCCTCTCAGCTAGTCGCGAACTGAACTCTCTTCTTCTCTTCCAGTTTTTCTTCCCCTCATTATTTCGAATTTTCCTTCCCCGTTCTCCGTCTTTTCTTTTATCCTGCTCTGGCTTATCTATCTTCTTTTCTTTCTTCTCCTCCCCTCTCATGCTTGTTCCACACACTCCTTACCCTTGAATAGTTCTTTCTCTCCTGTTCTCTCTCTCTCCTATTTATATCAGAGCGTATCACACTTGATATGCTTCTCGCGCCTCTGTGACTAATTTATCCGGTCACATATGTAGCAATACAGTGTCACGTTTGAAAGAGATGTACATAGATATACTTTTTAAGGGCTCTACTCTCCAGTGATCTCTGAGCTGAGCTTACTTGCTAGTCCCATGATAGTTGTCTCTACTGGAATTGAGTGGTCGCTGAAGTTGGTAGGAGACTCAGCAATGATACCGGGTTGACGAGATGAGCTGGTACTCAGCGTGATTAACGTTTATTTCTACAGTTCTTAGATAATTAATTCAGAAAATTTGGAAAGATAGTAAGTAAGAGAGAAAGGGATGTAGGTAAACTCCCACAGACATTTCTATCGTCGTTAGGGGAAGGGAAGAGTCCTAACGGTGAGAGTGGGCCAAATAACTCAGCAGCTAATATGATAGTTCAATTTTTTTTTTCAAGTTATACTTTGTAACACGTTAGCCGGAGATTGCGACTAACGTGTGTGGTGATTATTACTTTACCCTTAATACTTTTTATTTACGTTATGCCGTTCAACATTTAGTTAACGGGGATTGGAAAAGGACCAGGTACAGCCAGTATTGTGCATCACCGATTGCAGCAACAGGTAGTGCCGTACAGTGATCGCAATTTGGAAAGCCTTTCACGTTATTTTCTTCAGAAGCACTTCTTAATCATGCACTGAGGCACCACTCTGTCTCAGCTGCTCTTGGCGCCGCTCAAGACAAGACACGACAACACGACTCACTTGACTACTAATTACTTATTTATTCATATCGATAACTGTAATGGAAATTATAATTATAGAGCGGCACACCACAAAGGCAATGATTCCTGAGTTGTCACTAATTGATATCTAGTGATGTCGTTTACCTGGTAAGTAGCTGTACGAGACTCGGGCTGACTCTATATGGCATCCCGGAAGGGTAATTAGGGACGACCACTTTCATGCACTTGATACACGGCATCAACACTATATGTATTCACCTATCAGTATTTTGCTCCGGTGGAATACTCGGTGATGCTCCGGGCGATGCTACGGGCGCGTGTGTGTGTGTGTGCGTGTAGGGCACTGAGGCTTCGGCTATGCTACATCACGGTAACTCGGCAGGCGAGAGTCTGCTGAGGCCACACCGTTATGCTCCGGTGCCAGCCTCGCAGCGAGCTCAAGTATCTGTCCTGGTCTTGCCACGCAGGGGCACCGTATACTATGCGGTCCAACACACACTATCAGCCAACACAATACTACGCCCGCTCCCGGGATACCGACACACCGATAGCTGCCATTCATAGATACATTCTCTTACCATAGCACGTACACATCTCAAGATATGGTTATAGGACAAACGGAAAGGGAGTCAGACCAAGCTCCATAGTTACTCTAACTGCTATGGCCTCCGGGTCTGATACCAGGATTTTATACTCTTCAGCAATCCACATGCAGAAGAGAGAGAGCTACCTATGAGACCCTCGTCACTTATTACCGGTGACAAGGGCTCTGTGACGTGTTTGGACGTATCTCAAATTCATCTTAATAACTTATACAGGTGCGTTATGCATAAAACCTTGCGGATCCACTTAAAAATTTTAAATGTTTATCTTATAGCATTCTACAATAGAAAAAAAAGTGGAAAATGTTTATGGATCATTCACACAAACGTAAGTTTACATGACTTTTAATAAGGTTACTTGTTTCGTTAATAATTTTTTAAATTAAACATGGGGAGAACCATACCGTTTTTTAAATCATTCAATACAAATAAGTTATAATCATTTTTTTAAATAAAAATGTGGCAAGTGTGGTGTTAAAATGATATCAGCGTAGAAAGTTAATTTAAATGTATATTACTCTTTATAGTTTTTGATTCATTTAATATTAAAAAATTTATTCAAACTGTACCTTATTACTGTATATTTTAAGCTCAAGGAAACTACTTTTTATCACTTTCCATACATTGCAGTGGGTTATTGAATACATCGTCCGGTAACAGTTGTATCGAGATTTATATATTATGTGCCCAAAAAGTACAACCTTCTATTTGGCTTTCCAAGCAGCCTCTGACCATTGTTTTTTTATTGTATAATCATTTACTGATAAATAGATAACTACAACGTTAATCACCTCGTGACCCACTTAGTATCACTCAGATGGTCCAGCCTTGGCCGGATATCTTCCGGATTCTATAAAATAGATTGTAACTGCACTTTATTGTTCAAGAGTGGATAGCTAAGGCCCTCGAATAAGATGGGTCTGGTAGCTGAGAAGGAGATCATAAAGATTGTTGGTCAAGAGGGAGTTAAGGCACTGAAGTTCACTGGACTAGTCCTGATCAGTTGTGTTGAATCACTTACCGTGAAAGAGCCCATCAGTTCTTAGGATCCCACGGAGAAATCTCTGGAGAGTGTATTCTATA